GGGGGGGGGGGTATTTTCTTTAAGGGACGATTACTAAAAACAGGGGAAAATGGCGAATCTATTGCCGATCATTCGCGAGATTTATTATTTCCCCCCTATCTCTCTCTCTCTTTCTCTCTCTCTCTTTCTCTCTCTCTCTCATTTTTCACGGAATTACAATTATATCGGCTAATTGTTCGATTACTTGCATAATTGATTCGTTACTTCAGCTAAACATCCGCTATTAATTACGCTACTTCCTATACTTTCCACGTTGAGGCCAGGAGCGGTTTATCGATCGACGATCGAATTATTCGATGTAACCCTAAAGGGATATTCCATTGGTTGACACGGAGTGGGGGCGGGAGCGTTAATTAAGTTTTATTCGATACTTAATAAACGTCATAATTAAAGAATCGAATAATTTTATGGAATCCGATATGAAAATTGTTTCTAATTTAAAGATATATATACATATATATATATGTCTGCATATATATATATATATGTCTGCATACGTATATCTATAGTATACACGCTCCTGGTTCCTTTCGCTATTACACAGTGTGACGTCACGTTTTTAATTATTATTTTTTTAATTAACACGCTTTTAATCTCTCGTATTAATATGCGCAAGTATACCTGTACGCTCCTCATATGTATAGATATACGAACTCTTCTATACACTGTTATTTGTTCCCGCTGTATAATTGAACACAACTTAAAAAAAAAAACGGAGAAAATCGTAAAACTGTACAGTCGAATGGAGCGCGACGACGTTCCGCCATGAATCAGCATGGCCGAGCGTCGCGACGTCGGCTTACACTTTTAAGTAATAATTCTATATATACGTATATTACTTATGCGTAACTCATATGCGCGTCCTAGAGCGTACATCGTAATTGCGTGATGTCTCCATGTAATTATTTTTTATATTTCATTAATATAATCTACCTTGCACTCCGTGCTTAGATTTTTGCTCGATCACTCAAGTTAGCCTTTCAGTAAATCTGATAATAAATCTCAATCCTTCGGGTCACTAGTAATTACTTTATACAGTTTGATATTATTTTTCTTTTTGCTCTCGCGGATTCGCGCGCGTCAGACGCTATGACGCCTAGAAAAGGTTTCGATTCTCGAACAGTCGAACGGGGGTAATTTTTTCTAGGTTAGAATAATTTTTACTATTTTTTTTTGTCGACTTAATGCTGAACTTTTTTAGCCACGACACATTGGGCCCCCATGTTTTTATCCTATCGCGCTAGTAGATCGTATTTTAATATTTGCAATATCACGGGATGACTTTTAACGATTGGATGATATAACGTGTGATGATTTACTAAATTTATTTAAATTATAAGGGCTTACGGGCAACTTGACTCGTTGGAAAATATTTTTTTAAATTGTATATTACTTGGAATATTACGTGGGGATCGGTTAGTTTCTGATCGATCGTTAAAAAATACGATCTTTCGAGACGCGGGAAACGGCGCGACTTTTTAAATCCTCCTGCGCGGATTCGTTGAAACGAAATTTCTACGTATCGTTTCTTCAGTCTTGTCGCGCGTCGGTCGTGTACGCGCATACATTTTTATACTTTTGTTCGCTTATGTTTCAACGCGATTTTATAATAGATGCCTGCCTGGAATTTTTATTTTCGTCACTCCTTTCTGTGCTATTTTTATTCTTCAATCGTAATCGCACAATCCGTCGATTCCTCAGTTCCTGCTATTAAGAGAGACCCGACAAAGTCTCGCTCCGAGTATTAGGGTGACAAATATAATAAAAAAAAAAAAAAAAACGATGATATACAGTTGGTACTGTAAAGCAAAAAAATTATCTAGAGAGCTTCGAATGATAAATGTGTGGTGCTGTCAGTTGTTGCAAAGTATTTTACAGCAGACAAAGAAAAGTCCGGTGTGTCGATAAAAAAAATTGCGACAATTATGATTTACGTGAAGTCGCGTCGTATCGATGGAAACTGGTACTGACGAGAAGGACGAGGGACCTGAGGCGCGTAGAAGAAAGACAGTCTGCGCGTATCGACCGGGGATAAAAAAAAAGAATAAAGATGCCTTTAAAAAAAAGAAGTAAACGAATCCGGGACTCGTAGCGGGCAGTGAAGAAGCAGCGGTATTCGTAATAGTATTACTAATAAAGTTAGTGATAATATAGCAATAAGGCAACGATAGTTAGGATTACAATGTATAATATAATAATAAAAGGTGACGAATAACGGTGATAGCGATTAATGCACTTAAAAAGCATAAAGATAAGAGCCAAAAGAAAATTCCTGGACTCGGCGCCGCTATTACGACTTGATGCGCGTTGACCGCGACGAGGATGACGATGATGATAATAATATAGCGCAGCGTAGCGCGTAATACAATTAAATCGTAGGAATAAAAATAATAATTAACAATAATGAAATACACGATTAGTCGTTACTCTTCAGTATTGGAGATCTAAGTAAGACAGTGGTAGTGTAATATCACAATAAGGACTACTCAGGCCACACGAAACTAGGGGGAAGGGAGGAGGATAGAGCATACCTCCCCCTCGATCCGAACATTCGCCTCGGACGTTACTGCAGTGGCCATTTATAAATTTTGTTTGTCTGCTTGTATATCTTCGAAATTCATTTAAATCATTCTATTTAGAATCATGCATTACGGCCTTTTTCGTATAAACTAAACAAACATCCTCGGCGAAGCTTTGTCCCGTGCCGTATCATATTTTTCTTTTTACTCGGGGCCATTTTTAGCTCGACGGTACCCAAACCTCCTAAGGTAAAAGCCGGATATTCCGCAGTCCATAAATAAATCGTCCACGAGACTCGTTTTGCACCCTAAGGTGTCAACCCTTGGAACTACAATGAATTACAATGACACTGAATCACCATGACGACAGGGGATGATCTTTCCTAACCACAGTAGTATTCAAGGTGTACTTGTCCGGCAAGCGATCTGCCGTCGACCTAACTCCACGTTTAAAATAAAAAAGGAAAATCCGAGTTTTCAAGCAACGGAGCTCTAAAGGATTATTTGAGGATGACCTAGATGGAATACCCTGTTCAGGGTATTACCTTTCAGGTGGTCACGAGTCTCGTAGAGATAGACTGTCTCCAGCTTCTCAGCAATTGTTAAGATTCCTGCCGATCCAGCCACTTCCGTCACGCATCTCAATAGTAACGGTGACCGAGAAACTCATCCCCAGGTAGTCAGTGTTACTCGGGGATGCCCTTGCGCCAATACTTGAAATTCTGTTAGACGACACAGACTCGCGAGTGCGTTTAAAAGTGGCTGGCGCAGACCCGGCTTCACAATATCGGAGGTAGAAACGTGCCGGAGTCGTCGAGATTGGGATCCAGACTGGCGACGATGTCCCCGGTGGAGGCGTGACGTGGTTGAGATGGTTGGGCACCGCTGCCAGCTAGTGCATGGCTACTGGCGCTGCCATTGAGCTTACTCTTGACTACCAGAGCACCGTTATCGGCATTATCTATCGCTGTGATCTTCGAGACGCACTTCCGGCCACGGTACAGTCTGTATAGGCTGTACTGCTGCTGAGGATCCTCCATCGTCGTGGCCCTCTGACGTGCGGCACTGACATTAACGGTTTTCGCGTGGGCCGGTTGAGGTGGCTCCACCACTGTGCTTACTACTGAACTAACGACCGACGACGTCATCGCGGAGGATGAACTTATATGCGATGATGAAGAGTTCAGCCACTCGTGACGCATCGCTTCGTCGGGCGTCATGCGCTTCTTCGCGTCCCACCTAATTGCACAATTATTTCAATTAAAAATACGTCTGGATCGATCAATCGATATCATTCGACTTCGTCTGACTACTCACTCGAGACATCTGCTGACGAAGTCTACGAAGAGCGTGTCGTTGCACCGAAGTGCAATAGCCAAACTTCTGCTACCAGGTCGCCTCTTTCTACCCTTGCTGTTTGTCACGCAACGAGGGTTTCCTTTGGAATCTATAAAGACCAAGGCTAGTTTATAATAGATGTTCTAGGGGTACGGGTAACTAGGTGTCCCAGGGTCTTTGATTATCCTTACCAAAGAAGAGCCTGCGACGGGATGCATGACTGATGAGTTGCTCTGGTGGCAATCCCAGGACTTCCATAACGCACGCGAGTTGCTCCACCTCGTTCTCGCCCGGAAAGAGAGGATATCCGGTGTAAAGTTCAGCTAGAATACAGCCCAGACTCCACATGTCTATAGGAGTGCCATAGGGCAGTCCTAGGATGACTTCGGGACTTCTGTAAAACCTGGACTGTATATATGTATAAACTCGTTGATGGCTGTAGCAGGAAGAGCCAAAGTCGATGACTTTTATCGAGCTGCTACCACGCTGCTTAAGAAGGACATTTTCCTGAAAGAGAAATATAAAGGAACGATGAAGTTAATCCATCCCTCTGACGCTTGTTCGTTCGAACAATCAAATTTGAAAATAATTACCGGCTTTAAATCGCAATGAATAATATTCTCCCTGTGTAGCAGTCTTAAACAATTGATCAGCGAATTGGCAAATCGCCGAATCAAGCTCAAGCTGAACCCTTGATAGTTGTTCTTCTTTATCAGTTCGTAGAGATTCAAGCTGCAATAAGTAAAACAAAAATTTCATTCACCCCCTTAAACTCTTTACACGTTCTCGTCTATATCAGGATTTACGTCTATCTAGCAGAAAATTTACGTCTTCAACAAGTTTTCTCATTTTCAACTTCTCAGGCGAAACAAAGTATACCCCAGTTCACTTTGAAAACTGCATTTTATTTCCATTCACTGAGCTTTCACAGCCGTGATTGGTGGTACCAAGAGCAAGTTCAGCCAACTGGGGGGGCGGTTAATCTTTTCCAGAACGTTCGCGTTACCTCATGAGTTCAAAGCTGATGCACAGGTGATTCCTGAAGTAGAAAAACTCTAACATGTGTATGACATTGTGGGACGCATTAGCCTCCAGATCCTTCTTTCTCAGATGACCCAGAATCCGTACTTCGATGAGTGCTTGATGATGGAACCTCTTCTTGTTCCTGCAATTTCAATCTATCATAAGTCAAGCACGATACGAATTAAAGGAATCGAATGGAGTGTTGCAAGGACTTAAAATTATGTAAATATTAATTTTATTAATTAACATGGAGATTTAATCTCCTTCTCATACCTGATTATCTTAATGGCGATATGCTGTCCTGTCTTGTGGTCCAGTGCCCTGATAACTTGACCAAAACTCCCCTTACCGATCACCTCCAGTATCTCGTACCTTTTCAGAAAAATACAGTAAAGGCATTGATTAAAAAAATCCTCTTTTGTCATAATAGGTATAAAGCAAGCATAACTCTTTTTCAATTAACAATCAAACTGTACCTGTATGAAATGTGGTCGTGAAGTACTTTATTGTAACTGCCATTGTCATCGTCGTATCCACCGTTTTGGGAGGCACCCTCTTCACCGTGAATCTTACAAGCATCCAATCCCAAGTACCAAATTTCAGAGTACTTTTCAATTTCAGCGCGTTCAAACTCCGTGAGCCGTGATCCATAATACTTGGTAGCTTCCTGAGGTGTCATGGGCACTGTACTGGCTGTAAAGTAAAAATCCAAAAATAAAAAAACATATCAAGCGTTCAATAAAGAGGTAAAGGGAAGACACCACGTGCGCATGAAAATCAAAGAGTTGCTTCATATTTTAAAAACGTCTGGGAAAGAAAAAATCTACAAAATTTCATATTAAAATTTCAATGCAAAGTCAACAGTCTTATGTCAAAGTATACAAGGGAACCAGGAGTATTACGTATTGAAATACTCACAGGAATATTCATGAGACCCAAGGAATAACCAAGGCGATACTCAAACAAAAATACTTTTGATCTTGCCTCGTGAAATTGATTAAAGTAAATTTGAAACAAACAATCTTTTTAACGCCTCCAGCTAAAATTCAAAAATATTCAAGCGGAAGCCTAAAGGAGGCATTGAATTTCGGTATCAACATCCCCTGGACCATGGGTGATCATGTTATACTAATTGGATGAACACGGCCAACCCCCCCCCCCCG